ACTTTCTTCACACTGTCTCAGCTTTGATAGTTTTACTTCACTGCTATTTAGTTTAAATTTTATTTCTTCGTATTGATTATTTAGGTCAAAATAGTTTTGATAACATAAGTTTAGCTTTAACAAGGTAACGTTATGCATTTCACTTAACGAAGACATATTTCTTCTGCATTCCGAACAGCTCATCACTGTGTGCTTGTTTCTGATAAAATTTTCCGATACAGAATCGTTTGATGTTGATGCACGATAATAATCGTCTTTAAATTTAAGAATGGTATCATGTTTAAATAGCATGTCTCTGTATTGATAGTAAACATGATGCCAAGTAAAAAGAAGATAAGTTGTTGCGGCTAAGTTCGCCAAAGTTATAATGTAAGTGATTTTTCTTGACTGTAGCATTCTCAAATTCTGATGGATTGAAACAAAGTTAACATTGTTAACAAGTTAACAATAACTATTTTTTTAATTAATGGGTTATTGCTATTTTGTTGTTAATATAATTAACTTGAGTTTCTTGGTATTCGTTATTTAGTTCTAAACAGCTTTGCTTTGCATACGTTTAACTTTGACCCGGTATCTTTAATCATATCACTTAACGTAGACATTTTGTTTTGCAATCTACATATGTCAAAAATGAATTACTTTTCAAGCACTCTTGTCGACTCTCACGAGTTAACTTTACATATGTGTTTTGCCCTGATACTTTCCATAGAGATTTCAGTCCAGTGATTGTATTATGTCGTTAGCTGTTAGTGTTTGTTTTGAGCACGCTGCTACAGATCCATAGATTGTAACTAAAAACAAAATTAAGTGCATTTGATTTACGAGGAAAATCGCTCGAAATATACTTTACTTTCTTTGTTTGTCAAATAAATGGCAATGCCGAAGAGCCTATAAATGGAAGTCTTTAAAAGAACCAATTGTATGTTGTTTGAGCTACTACGATCCCAATTCTATAACTAGATTAAATAGTTACCAATTTGTTACAGTATTTTAATAACAACCTTTTTTGTTCTTAATTTTAGTGTTGGAAGGGATCGTCTCTATAACACAAATGTATACGTGTCAACTGGTTATTCGCCATTGAGGCCATTGACTCCGATTTTAGCCTGCTTTTGTTTTTGGATTTGCTTCCATAGCTTTTGTCCAACCAAGAACAAACTACAAGGCAGCAGGTGTTAGATTTTGGAGTTGTCTCTCCTAGAAGAGTGACTGTCTCAGCTAACAAGCCTCATATGCCCAAGGGTTCGAACTCGAGATTTTCGGTAAGCAATCATGACCTTTACTGGCTTGACCACCTTAGAAATCAATCTAGAATTGCTGCAAGGTTTATGTTCTCAGCTTTAATCAAAAATATAATTTTTGCATAAAGTTGTATGTTTTTTGACAGCGATACTGTAAAGGAAATAACCTTCCTTTAGAATGACTAAAAATATTATCGGTTATCTCCATTGCTAGTTGAACTCTCACTTTGGCATATACCATTTCCAAAAAAAAAACAACAACCCGTTTTTCTACAACTGATGTCCTCTTGTATTTTAAAGGGTTTTTTTTATAGTAAAAAATAGTCGTTTTTTTCGATTTCGACTTATGTTGTATATGATTAGATTTGTGGATTTAAATATTATGCATAACTTGCCGCTCACGTGAATCTATTATATACGAAGAGACTGAAATATTATTATTGGACACATATTTTCTAGCGTAGAGATGAAGTAGGAAACATAATTAAAAGCAATGGGTTCAGCTTTTATGATTTGAATTCGAAATTGACCCCACAATATATATTTTTTTCAACAATCTCTCATTTAAAATCATTAAATTAAACGTCCTATACATCGTTAGGATCAATGGAATTAGATATAGACTAGGAGATGTGTTTTGAAACAATGCCGAGATTAAAAGACGTGTTTCTTTTATGACCATATCTATTCTTTCATGTATTTGTCTAGATATTTATTTGGAAACAATAAACATGTCGTTTGTTCAATGTTCAAAGAATTAAGTAGCTTTAGTTTTGTCTTTTCTTCTTCGCATAAAGATGTATGTGCCTTCCTAGAGCTATAAGAAAACAGTTTGGACCTATTAGAACTGGTGGGTTCTCAAAAGATGCGCAACAGAAAAAAGCACACAAAGAAAAAAGCGCAAACAAAAAAGAGCACACAGAAAATAGCGCAAAAATGATCAACCAGAAAAAAGCGCAAACACAAAAAGCGTACACAGAAAAAAAAAGCGCAAAAAGATAACTGCACAACCAGAAAAAAGCGCAAACGGTAAAAAGTGCACACAAAAAAGCGCACACACAAAAAAGTGCAAACATTTTTTCGTGCTTTTTTCTGTTGCGCTTTTTTTCCGTTGCGCACCTTTCTGGTTAACGAACTTGAGTCCTGACTTCAACCTTAATCCGCAAATTTTCAAGATTTTAATGCTAAAATTGAATCACTGTAGACAAATGCACTAATAGGTTCCCAGCATTTTGGTTTTTAGTATTACATAAATGCAATAAAAGAATGCATTCGATACATTAAAGGAAATGCTAATATCACATTTAGTGATTTTTTATTAAAACTAAAGACTCTTGTTAAACTAATGATCTTTGTTAAACTTACTGACGTTTGTCATAACTACTGATTGTTTCACAAAATAACATTTCTTTATAGCTACTAATTGCTCAAAATTCTGACTTAAATAAAAAATAATTATTTTGTAAATCAAAACTTACCTTGTGTTAAAATGACTAGCTTTCATAAAACAGTGTTTCTGCCCAACGGCCAAAGCAAATTCACTTTGTATGTACACAGTTACACCTTGTATTGCGTGTGTAAATCATTACAGAGCTTTTAATGTCAGTTTAATCATCATGAAATTACTTCTGTCCTCTTTAGCAAACCAATTGCATTTCTTCGATACATCCACCTTAAACCCGATAAGCTTAATTCGTTTGTACTGAAGACACAGCTCATTTTATTACAAATTAATTTTAGTTAGGCCTATTGATTGAAATCTAACCGGAAGCTGATTTAAGCTGTATGAATTTTGTTCGATTGGAGATTTAACTAAGATGTTATGCAATGTGTTGTTAAGGTAAGACAAAACAGCAAGCTAATGGGGGTGGGGGTTGTGCTTTAATTGCCTTGTTGTAGATGTATAATTAATATAATGGAGTTGGTCGTGTCGAACACAGACACAACACAACACACTCTCTTGACTACACGAAAAAGGTTATCAATACGGAAAAAAAAATTAAGTGCGATATAAGATAGAATTGCTATTTAGATCATACCGGTAACGGATTTTTCATTTTGATAAATTTATTTACAAGAGCTAAATAGTTACCGAAATTATTAAAGTTGAACAATTACCACTATTGATAATGTTACCAATGTCAGAGTTTTTGTTTAGAGATGGTGCGGTCAGTAAAATGTCCAGCAACTGTATGTGTCTGAAAGTCTAAGGCGTACCCACAAAATGTGTAAGCAAATCGCATAAGATATTCGGTTGATTACAAAAAATTATATGCACAGGTTTAATTTTTAATAACGAAATTGTATACTAACCAATCAAAACTACTAATCGCATTACATTAAAACAGTCCCTTTAATTATTCTTAAACGTGTCCATAACAAAGTATATATTTTAGTAATTATATTTCTAGGTAATATAGCAATAGTTTTAAGTCTTCCGGTTGTATGAATATTACTACCACACCAGATGTCGGAGATCAGCTATGAATTACAAAATTGATCGTCATTAAACTGATATTAAATGTTATTGATTTAAAACGAGAACAAGAGTTATTTGTGTTGAGTTGATGTGTAGTAATGGATAACTGTTTATTCAGTGAGTGTGAATATAATAGAGCTATAGCCATACGAAAAAGGAGATCTGTTCAGAAACTACAACTTGTTATATGGAGAGAGAGAGAGAGAGAGAGAGAGAGAGAGAGAGAGAGAAGAAGAAGAAGAAGAAGAGAAAGAGAAGGGTAGAGAGAGTTTTGAAACAAATGTAAATTAATTACTGATATTATAATAAGATTTGGAAATATACTGTCACAAATAGACCTAACAATACAAGAGAACATCAGTTGTTTTTTTGTTTTTTTTAATGGGCAAATGTTCGTTTTGGAAAAAGTAAATGCCCTAGTGCTAAATGCGCAAGGGAGATAACCAGTAATGTTGTTAATGCTTGTATGGAAGGTTATTGCCCCTAACTTATCGTAAACAAAAATAAACAATTTAAAGCAAAATTATATTTTTCAAATTGTAGTTTGACATAAAATGTCATTAAAAACTTAAATTAATTTATTACAACTATAGTCGGCGACGTAGTGTTCACATGTACTAAAAAGTCCCGTGCTCGAAACCCGGGAAGATGTACCTCAACACCAAAGGTCATTCACCCTTCTATGAAATAAAACTCTAACTTAACACCCTAATTAACAATTGCTGCGTCTTCATTTTTTTCATAAATGGAGAAAGACTATGCAAGCAAATCTAGAAAAAAAACCAATGTAAATTTGGAGTCAACGGCCAATGTGGCATATAACGTAATATAAAGGGGAGTTGGAGAAAATCCGGTATAACATACACAATTAAGAAAGAAGAAGAAGCATTGTCTACAGTTTAGCTTTTTTGATTCGTGGATTTATGGCTACGGGAGCAGGCTCAGAAAGAAAAGCAGGCTGAAAACAGTTAAGAAGTGAAAAAAAATTGGCAGTACAAATAAATATTTTTGTAAAATCGTCATGTTCTAAGAAATTTATGTAAAAAAACAGGTTTGTGGAAAAAAAATTAATGAATTTAAATTCGTGTGTAAACACAATGCTTACACAGTATCATAACGATATAATTTTAGACTTCCCCCCCCCCCCCTTAACAATTAGGTTACTATTTAAAACAAATTATGAGCACGTAGTCTATCTGGGAAATTTCATTTATTGTTTTCCATTACGCCAAATACATTAATACAATAACAGTTTATTTAATACGAAATGGACAAGAAATCTTAAAATAAAACAAGGAAACCCTTGAATTAAAACTCAGCAATTTTTCTTATAGGTTAATCTAGTTTTTATCCTCCAACAAATGAGATCTCCCCGCCTTCTGTATAGCGTCCATTAATCTCCTTAACAACAAAGCGTCAACGCTGGTTTTGTTCTTTATGGCAGAAAACGATGTGAAAATTGGTGGAGCGTTCATGTGAATGAAATGGAAAGCTGAAAGAAAACAAATTGTCTTAGACATTCGGTAAGTTTTACCATTAAAAAAAACAACCCTTCACGAATTCAAAATTAGTGGAAGTAAGCCTAGAGATAATTTTTCTTAAGACTGGATATTGCCAAACTATAAGAAATATTTTTTGAGATAATTTATTTGAGATATTAATGTATTATTGAATATTTAAGAGGTAGTTCTGTCTTTTAGTCGGTGATGTTTGGTTGTGTATATATTATGCACAATGCTTGCAGTGAATTTAGTTTTAGTTAACAATCACAAGAACGCTCAATTAATGCATACGTATACATGTTAAAATACAGAAGAAAATTAACTACCGTTTGTTTCTTCAATGTTAAATCTGGTTGTAGGTCTACGATCCTGGTAGCTCCTGCGGTAGTTGTCGTGCCAGGTTGGGTGGCAGATTTTGTGGTAGCAAATGACCTGAGGTGAAAATAAGAATTTCATTTTATGCATAACAATTATTTTGCAAAGAATAAGAATGTAGGTTTTTGTTAAGTGTTGGATATACCATACTTACTATTAACAATATATTTATATCTATCTATCTATATATATATCTATATATGTACTAGCTGCATCCCGTGTTCCGCCACGGTAAATCCTTTTTTAAATGTACCATCTTGGGAACAGAACAAAACTAAACACAACACAAACGAACGCAAACAAACACAAACGAAAAAACAAACACAACACTCATAACATAAGCACAATTTAAATGCAATCATAAAGGCATAGTAATCACCGTCTAGCCAGTAGCGCCAAATCGCACCCTTTCCGAGCGCCGGCGAACGCGTCTGACACAGTGAATGACTATAAAACAGAGGCGCAGCGACCCTTTCGGCGCCCGGGGACAAACCTTCGATATGACCCCCCCCCCCCTTCAAACTTAAGTTTGCACCCCCTCCCCTCAAAATTTCAATTTCCACCCCACACCTTAAACTTTTGATTTGCACGCCCCCTCAGACTTTCGATTTGCACCACCTTAAATTTTAAATCCCCCCCCCGCTCAAACTTTTGATCTGCACCCCTAAAACTTTCGATTTCCATCCCCCCGCAATATTTTTTCCAACCCACTTTGGCGCCCCTTGAAGTCGGCACCCGGGGACATATGCCCCCCCCCTCGCTACGCCTGTCCTATAAAACCCCCAGCTTGTCCGCAAACTGAAAGATAGATTGTAAATCAGAATACAGTACGTTCATTGTATAGGTACAATAAATAATAGGCAGTATTTAAAATATCCGTGTTTTACCGATTTTAATAATTTACAATAGAGTTTCATAATTAAAACCATTGCGCACCCAATGAATGTGATGACGCGGCTATTATAGTGCGGAATAATTTATTAAAAATTATATGTAGTAAATAGTACATTCAGTGAATTAAAAAAATAAAAGATTGCCTTTTATCACTCCATGCTAATTATAATTTTCTAGCAATAATTTCCTCTTACACATCCGCATAATTTGCATTCACATTTTGCTAATTATATTATTGCAATACTAATTCCTTATAGGACGCCCGTAGATTTGCATTCACATTTGTTTATTTGCGTGAGTTTAATTTATTTTTAAATTACCTCCCTTGTCAAAATTAGAAAAAAGAGTTAAATTTATTTGATTTTTGTACCCTACTGTTATTATGTTATTAAAATGTGTCCACTTCTTCTAGGAATATAAACGAAAGTGATATTTGAGATTGATTTTTTTAATATGTTTTAGAAATGTGTGTGTATTTAATATTTTCTTGACGTTATGCGAAAGAGTAAAAACATTGGCAATCATAAAATAGCTTTATGTCGTTATATATACCAACCTTACTCTACTACATACAATAAGAAACTGCGATGCACTGAAAAGCAGTGCATGATGCTAAAATCTAAGATGGCCGAAACCAGACAGACACGACTTTCAAAAAACCTTAGCTGACCTTCGCTCTGTCCTGTGGATAATACGGACACCTCGCAAACCACCAGCTGGCCTGTGCCAACACCCGTAACGGATACATATTCAAATGAAACTGTAAATGTTCTTGAAAGTGGGAGAAAAACCGAAGATGTGTTACAAAAGGAGAGAACTGTCCCTGTACCTGTAAGTACACTCTTCAAAAAAATCACGCTTACGGAGATCGCACCTGGGCAACATCCCATAAACACATTACGTGTGTTGATTAAAGGAACAGAAGACTCGATGAATTTATCTTAGAGGATCTGTTTACTTGTGAATTGAACATAAACCGTTCACAAATTATTAATGTCTACAACTTAGGGAAATCAAGCGAATGGTATATCTCACAAAATTCTGATGAAATCTACAACTTTCTACATATGTGAACATTCAGATTATTGTAGTAGCATGTTGCATGTGGATAAAAAGGGCCAGAGGGGTCACCTAAAATGGGCACCCCATACCATTACCCAGAATTTGATCAACGAAATTATGATGGAAATATCAGAGCAATCAGAAAAATATCAGACACAATTGTGTCAACTTTCAAAATTGGCAAAAGCGACAAATGGGCAGTCGATTTCTGCCCTAACGCTCCCCTAAAGGACCTATATATATATAGACAACAACGGAAACTATTACGACAATGATCTACTTATTGACGACATCGAAGATGTGTCTGACGACGCCGCTGAAATTGAACCAGCCCAAGAACCAGCTCAAGAATCAGCTACAGCTACAGCCCCCACAACAGAAGGTGAATGGACAAAGGTTCAGGGAAAAATAATTAAGCTTTCACGGAAAAATAAAAAAGATAGTTTACGAAACACAGGAAACGAACACATCATTGAAACCGACACCATACAGAGCACTACACGACCAACCCCAACACGCCCAACCACAAAGGACAGGACCACAACAAAAAGGAAAACTTTCACAGCCCCTCCACTAATCCCAAAACAGACTAAGGCGGACCAGGTGTTAAAGACAGTGTAAGTAACCTTACAATCGTAACCCTCAACATACAAAGCACAAAATACAAAGACAAGTACGTAAGACAATTAATCGACAAACATAAACCTGACTTCATTTTACTACACGAAACTAACTTCAAAAATATATACACAGCAGACAAATTCACTCACAACTTAGGGTTAACTCAAGCACACCACAGCTACAGTTCACTAATCACGGGTAGCGGGTCAACAATTTTTAATACATCAAGCAAGTTCAACATAACAGACACGCACGCCGACTCAGAAGGAAAATTAGCAATATTTACAATCGAGGGACAAGGGGGAAAACTAATCATATCTATGTACACGGACAACATAGACCCAAAGACAGTAAATTTTATGAAAACCTGGAACAATTATTAACTTCCTTCCTTCCTTATACGGAAACCGGCTCAGAAGGTTTACTTCCATTAGCCAGGCAGGCCTCAATGTAGCAAACTCCGACCTTTAAAGAGTTTACCACACATCGGTCGCTACTTCCGTCGGTTCTCACCGGGCTTTCCTTCCCCACCCACCAGACGCGGGACGTGGGGACGTCGTCCTACCGCCTGGTACCCAGCTTGATCGTGGGGGGCGTTCGGCCATTCTTTGAACCTAGCTTATACAGCAGTTCTACTCGGCCAGATCAAAAACCTCTAGCTGCTGTTGGCTAACACTAGCCATTCCGCACCCACTAGGGGGTCATGGGCTTGGTCCGACTAGTGGCACTCCTCCGATGCCAAGTGAAGGCTTAAAGACAAGATATCTGGTTAGGGTCGAGAGCAAACCCTTCTTGGTTCCCGGCAGTCTTTTACCTCTCCTCCCCCACGCTATTATATAGGGGACTTGGGAGTCCGACGTACCAGGCTCATTGGAGCAATTATTAACTAACAGATACAACCACAACCAACATGACATCATTTTGGCCGGGGACTTCAATTTCGTGGAAGAAAGATTAGACATTGTTGGACCAAAAGACATAATTCGAAACCGCTTAAACGCAGACAAACCATACGCCGACTCAATCAACGACATTAAAAAAAATTCAATTTAATCGACACATACAGAGCGCAATATCCACACACTATACAAACCACCCACGGAAGTAACACATCTGGGAATAGATTCCGTCTAGACAGAATTTACGCCCCATCGAACATGAAAATCAACAAAGTAGAACACCTATTCTCAACACTACAGTTTAGCGACCATACAGCAGTTCTGACAACATTAAAAAATGAACAAATACAAAACAAACCAAAACACAACACATATCGAAAATTCAATAATACACTTTTACTAGACGAGCGCTACATCAACACTATAAAAGACTTAATACAATTTTACACGCAGTCATCACCAAAATGAAACAAAACCCAGAAGATTTAAAACAAGGCATTAAGCGGGTATCTATTCAATATGCATGTAGCATTAATAGCGTAAGGGCCCACATAGAAACTAAACTAGAAAAACAACTAAGTATACTTAAAGGAATCAACAACAACAAAGAACAAATAGACTCAACAGAAACAGAACTTTCTAAAATACAAGAGCACACATATAGAGGAGCGCAAATTAGAAGTAGAATCGAACAAATAGGCTCGGAAAATCCCACACACCACACCTTAATTTTAGAACCAAGCTTTCAGAGGGCAAAACAAATAACACATCTCATAGACAACAACAACCAAGAGACGACTGACCCTGAAAAAATCTAATCAATATTTAGAGACTAATATTCGCAACAATATAAGTTCGAAGAGACAAACACAGACATACAAGACAAATGCCTTAAGTTTATTAAACCCTTACATGACAGCGACAAAATTAATATTGACACCCCATTTCAGTCAGTCGACATAACCAAAGCCATACTCAAATTAAATTCAAATAAATCGCCAGGGCCGGATGGCCTGACAAGCGAATTCTTAAAGCCTTTTCAACCGACCTAACTCCCCTCCTTTTAGCTACCTTTAGAGAAATGTTTCTGCTAGAACAATGCCACGAAAATTTCAACAGATCATACATAACATTAATACGCAAACCCAAAACCGATCATAAACTAACCCAAAACTATAGACCTATCTCTCTCTTAAACATTGATTACAAAATCCTAACCAAAGTGAAGTAGCAGCATGTGTGACCCTCTTTGTTAGGTCTTGTGCGACCCCTTCCTCACGGCAACCACCTGTCTGTAGGTATTTGCCACTGGCTTAGGAAATCCCGCCTCTAGGCGAAGGACACTTTATTTGGTACCGATACACCCACCTGATATAAAGAAGCACATTCTGACCGCAGGTTCAAAATTACAACACTTTATTCCTTCTTGAATAATCAGAGTTCAGATAATTACGTGAATCTCAACAGACCACCACTACCACAGGTCCACACACTGTATCACTCCGTCTCTCCATCTACAAACACGTGTCTCTGTATTTTATCAACTTCTATATCTCTCTTCATTCCAGCGCCCGATCGTTCCATCTTCGTTACTTAACTCACATCTGCTGACTGTCACATCTTTTGTCTTGCTCTCACTACCCTAAAGTATCGCCGCTTAAATACACACCCAGAACAACCCAGCTGTACATCCGGTGTTGTCAATAATGTCTATCAATGTCAAACTATTATATTTCGGTGCCACCTATTGCATACTCTCTTTTAATAGCTTGTCTCAAAGTTTACAAGTGAAATTCTATTTTAGAAACACCAGCTACGTCACAACAGTTTCATAATAACTATAAATAACTCAGTTCAGTTCTGGCCGTAACCTTGTCCTTGTAAACAACATAATACGTTGTTTTTGTAACTACACTAGTTACATATATAAATTTAAAAAAAAAGTTTAAGATATCAATCGCGATAAAAAACGAAATTGGTTGAAATTAAGTCATTAAAACTATTTTACAAATCAATATAAATGTATACCAAAAAGAGTCACACATAATTGAATTACAATGAATAACTTTAACTTACTAGTTTGAATAAAACCAGGAGTGATCTCCCCTAAACTTTCTCGAATATTCTTACGCGAGCCGGCCCGCGGCATAACATACGCCGCTATTTAGTTGTTATTTTTTCTACTTTTCAGTAATTCATAATTTGTGAATTCGACAGTATTAAGCTGCCACTGAAAATATTTCTTTAAAACACTATAAGTAGCTCGTTAAGGACCATAACCCCCCCCCCCCCCCCATACGTTTAAAATCGTTGGCTCTGCTTGTAAACATTTTGAGTGAACACAGCTCACTAAGACCATGTAGGGGTGGGGGGGGGGGTAGGGAGCGCGTTTACAGCTTGTTTTCTAGGCGCGTTTACAGCTTGTTTTCTAGCGGCTCCCAGAAGAGAATTATATATATAGATAAAACAACAGGGGATGGGAACTCGGGCTATAGACATGATTTTTAATCCATTTTAAATACTTAAAGTTTTTAAAATAGAATAAAATCTCGTAGACAAAAGAATTGCACACCAAGTGAACGTAAAATAAAAAAGTGCATAATAGGGCGCAATATTATTAGTACTTTAAAAATTAACATTAGTTTTTTAGAAATCGGAAGTAGCGTAAATTACTACTTCCGTTCAACAGAAATTACTCAAAATTTAACAGAAGGTAGAAAATTAGATCTTTTACTCACATGTGAAATTTCATTTATCTATCTGAAATAGTACTCAAGTTATAGGCTTTTGAAAAAATTCAAAGTAGAAAAAGTACCACTTCCGGTTATCAGTAATCGCTCAAAAAATGATACGGATCTACTTTTTTGATAAAATACTTATATATGAAATTTCATCAACCTAGCTGTAACGGTACTCAAGTAATCGTGTTTACACACACACAGACAGACACACAGACATACGGACAGGATTGCAAAGCCCAGTTGTTCAGACTGGATTACGCATAAAACCTCTTAATTTTGATAAATCTGGATTGATAATTTTTGCCCGATTAAAATAAGTCCTCTATACTTCGGATGTGATGAAGGACTGAGGTGTAATACGGTGAAAATTGTTAAAATTACAATACTTTCTCTATACTTCGTATATATGAGAAAGTAAAAAATAGAATAATAACGATTCTACGACAGTTAATAAACATCCCAATCAATCTCTGCTATGATAGGAATACTTTTAAAAAAATAATTATGAATTTATGGTGCAGTTGTCAAAATATTAGAATAGTTAAGGTCATTACAAATAAAATGGAAAATACATTCCATTTCGAAGGGAGTTCATTGACATGTGTACGCTATATAACAAAAATATAAGCAATGCTCAAATTCTATAACTGAATGACCAGGCTTTTATTATCAGTCATATCAGCTTATTGCTTTAGTAAGATTGCACCAGCTAAATTTATTTTTTACTTTTTAGTGCATTTTTTATTGGGGTCGTCCATGAATGACGTCACACTCGTAGGGGGGAGGGGGGGGTCCGTAATTTTGTAACGGTGTGTGATGAGGGGGAGGGGGGGTTCTGATGGTACGACATCACATTTGCATTATAAAAAAGCAATGTTAGAAATCGATTTTTAGACGTTATTTTGCGTTTTAGAAAACTGTTTTAATAAATTTTAATATGAATTGATGAAACAACTCTATTTTGACAGGGTTCAGGCAAGATTTTGGAAAAAAAATATCTATGTTCTGTTAGGGGAGGGGGCCTGGCTTTTTTTAGACGGAGGGGAGAGATGGAGGTAAAAATCGTAAAAAAAGCGTGACGTCATTTATGGATGACCCCTTTCGTTAGTGATTTTTAAGATTTGTGAATACAATAAAAGCTATTTTGAAAAAAAATAAACCGGGAGCTAAACTTTCTCGAATATTCTTATATAAAAAAACAGGGGATGGAAACTCGGGAAATAGACATGAAATTTAATCCATTTTAAATACTGAAACTTTTTAAAATAGAATAAAATCTCGTAGAAAATAGAATTGCACACATGTGAACGCCATAATAAATGTTTATAATAGTGCGGAATATTATTAGTACTTTATAAATTTACATTAGTTTTTCGAGAAATCGGAAATAGCGTAAATTAGTACTTCCGGTCAACGGAAATTACTCACAATTTGAAAGAAGGTAGAGAATTAGATCTTTTACTTACATGTGAAAGCTCATTTATCTTTCTGAAATAGTACTCAAGTTATAGGCTTTTGAAAAATTCAAAGTAAAAATAGTACCACTTCCGGTTATCGGAAATCGCTCAAAAGTTGATACGGATCTACGTATTTGACATAATACTTTATATTAAATTTCATCAACTTAGCTGTAACGGTACTCAAGTTATCGTGTTTACACACACACACACAGGCAGACACACAGACATACGGACAGAATTGCAAAGTCCAATTTTTCCGACTCGATAACGCACAAAACGCCACAATGTTTATATATTTGTATTTATAATTTTTGCTTGATTAAAATAAGTCCTCTATACTCCGGATGTGATAAAGGACTGAGGTGTAAAACGGTGAAAACTCAGAATTTCATGTTATTTTTGTGCACGATTACAAGACTTTCTCTATACTTCGTATATACGAGAAAGTAAATAATAGCTCATTTTTTTGGGAAGATTTAGTATGATGAGGTGTGACAATTCAACAAAAGTATAGAGAGAATAATCCAAATTATATCAGCCGATTCGATGGGATTCGTGATTTTTTTTTTTTTTAGAGTGATTAGACCTATTTTATCCCAAAGTGTCAACTTGTAAAACAGCTACCGTTTATATTTTACCTGTAGCTTTGGGTCAATGTAGGCCATTTCCGGGTTCCTCTCATACAGCTTGTAGTACATCATCACTGAGTTCAAGGCCCACTTGTCGTCACGGTAGTACCTTTACAAAAAGTCATTGCAATAAACACGGACTATTATCTAAATTCGGATTGCGTAGTACTTTATAATATTTCCATAAGAAAATGGAGTGACATAAGTTGTTAAGACACATTTATAGAGCTAAACCAAGGCGTTTTCATGGAAACTAAATCAAGTGTAACTTTCCGAGCAACTAAGACTTAAATAAAGTGAGAGTGATTTCCCCGAAAATATCTCTAATATTCTTAGATATCGGGATATTACATTCTTTGTGGCTTTTTTTTTTTTTTTTTTTTTAATTAATTTTTAAATACTTGAATATTAAACACAATACAATCGCGTAAAAAATTGCGCAGAAAATGAACACCAAACATTGTGTGTAAAAGTAGTGACCATTTAGTACTTAATAAAGTAAAACTTGATTATATTTCAAAAGTTAATTGATCATGTAATTTAATAGCATTTGGTCAGGATACATTGTCTACGAATCTAGACCTATGTAAAAAGTTTATAAAAATAGGTCTGATAAAGTGTTTGAAATTTTGCTCGCAATTTTGCAACCATGCCGGGCGATAGATAGATAAATCATGGTAAAAATAAATATTTAAGCCTTTATTGGGAAATCGGGAATAGCGTAAAATAGTTTTTCCGGTACTAACAATTTAATAGAAAACAGCAACTAGAGAATTAGCTCTTTTAATTATACGTAAAATTTCGTCTACCTATCTTGCAGGCTTTTGAGAAATCTAAAGTAGAAGTAGTGACATTTCCTGTTACCGGAAATAGCTAAAACGTTAATACACAACTACATATATATAATAATTAGATATGAAATTTCGTCAACCTAGCTGTAGCGTTACTCAAGTTATCGTGTTCAGGACAGACAGATACACACACACACACACATACAGACACAAATATACAAATAAATTTTCGATTTCCATTTTTTGCAGGATTAAAGTACTTTCTCTTTACTCCGTATAAAGTAATGAACCACTGGGAGTGATTTCCCCTAAGCTTTCTCGAATATTCTAATATAAAACTACGAGGGATGGCAACTCAGGACATAGACAATATTTATAATCCATTTTTAATTACTTAAACTGTTTATAATAGAATAGAATCTCGTAAAAAAAGAATTGCACACCAAGTGAACGCCTAATAAAATATGCATAATAGTGCGGAATATTATTAGTACTTTATAAATTTACATGCGTTTTTTGAGAAATCGGAAATGGCGTAAATTAGTACTTCCGTCAACGGAAATTACTCAAAATTTGACAGAAGGTAGAGAATTAGACGTCTTACTTACATGTGAAATTTCATTTTTAAATCTGAAATAGAACTCAAGTTATAGGCTTTTGAAAAATACAAAGTAGAAAAAATACCACTTCCAGTTATCGGAAATCGCTCAAAAGTTGATCAGGATCTACGATTTTGATAAAATGTTTATAGATGAAATTTCATCAACCTAGCTGTAAAGGTACTCAAGTTATCGTGTTTACATACACACAGACAGACACACACACAGACACACAGATTGCAAAATTATGTTTTTCCGTATCAGTGAGGTGTAAAACGTCGAGATTTGTGAAAATCTCGTTGTTTTTTTTTGTGCAAGATTACAAGACTTTCTCTATACTTCGTATATACGAGAAAGTAAAAATAGCACTTGAAAGGTAAATGTTTAGCTTTATGTTTTTCTTTTTTTATGTGCAATTTGTATCTGTATACATTACACATCATACTTACCAGAAAGACTCTAGAACTTTCAACAGGAATGGAGCTCCAGCTCTTGCCACCAACAAACCGTTGCTGATTGCTCGAGGCCAGGGGGGAACATCCACCCACTCGTAGCACAAGACCGTTGGGTACCTTCTCTGGCTCTCAGAAAGTGGCTTGACCCAAATGACGTCATTATCCTAAATAAAAATGCGTTGGTTTATGGTATATGTGCTATAATACATTTTCTATGAGTATACATTGGTACGGTCGAATATGGGTTTGTTTGTGTGTGTGTGTGTGTGTGTGTGATTAACGAATTAAAATGAGACACTATAAAAATAGATTGTGACATGGAAGATAGAAAAATGTTGCCATAGAATGAAAGTTAGAGTTCGGGTTATACTGGTAATTTGTGTCGTATCAATGACCAGACCAATCGTCTACTTAGTTGATGGTGTTAGTAGTTTGAATAAAACTTGCAATAGAAACAAATAAGCTTTCTGTCTAGTGTATTAAACATGTCTGTGACCAAGTGATAACCTATGGCAATCATGACATTTTGGTGGAGTCAGCTAAAATGAAGACAAGAGATATAGAGCCAAGGTAATAAACAATAACAAGTCTCAATGACCCTTGTGTGAAGACCCATCATCTTAGGATTCGTGCTGTAAAAATTGAGTCTTGACTAACCGTAGCAGTGAAGAATTACGTCATTAAACGTCATTAAGACATATTACTAAACAAGTCTATTTGACTGAAAATGCTAGATCGTACAAGGATTCGTTCAACAACAGAAAATAGCTAATTATTTAATCCTTCCGTCAGCTGCGTGTAACGTTAACGTATCTTTGGACTTGAATCGTTAATGGCATGGCGCAGATTAGACAAGACTCTCAGAATCGTCACACTGTTACAATAAACAAAGGATGATGTACTATTGTGAATTTGCTGAGTGTGGAACATCAGTGGGTAACTGTACATTAAGAGGAACCTGTGCGTGACGTATTGAATCATGATAGGAGAATCTAGTGTGACGGTACGTGTTTCACAACATCGGTTGAGCACGTGGACTGTATATTCTTTATGAAAGATAAGTACCAACATTTCTTGTTTACTCAACATCTTTGGTTTGTTGTACATTATTATTCCTAACGTTTACGTCAGTTATTATATATATTAGGGAGGTATTGTCGTGGTCGAGACGGTAAAGCTCATGGTTGCTAAACCGAAACGTCTCGCCTTCGAACCATTGGGCAGATGAGGCTCGTTAGCTTGGGTAGCTGGGGTAAGCCACTCTTCTAAGGAGAGACAACTCCAAAATTAAACAACTGCTGTCTTGTAGTTTGTTCTTGGTTGGACAAAGGCTATAAAAGCAAATCCAAAAAGAAAAGCAGGCTGAAATTGGAGTCAACAACCTCAATGGCGCATAACTAATTGACACGTATGCTTAATTGCAAGCTGGAGGGGTTCCCTTCCAACTTTAAAAATTAAGAACGAAGTCGAAGAATAATATATGTATTAAGCATAGATGTGTAAGATCTATAGTGGATCCGGGTTTGGTACGGTACAGTGTACAGTGTACTGAAGGGTCATGCAAATTTTTTGGTTAATGTGTAAGAAATTAATCAGGCACTAAATCTAAAATCTAAAGTCTAGCTAGATCTACTTGATAATATTATTAAAATGGAAGTAGAAGATATAAGGAAAAAGTATAAATTAGGGCACAGTTTAGAAAACAAGGGTGAGGAGAACTTGGTGGTTAGACAACTTAAGATGATGGAAAAAATATCCACAAGAGACACACAATCTGAAGCTGAAAAATAGGAATTAGATCTAGAAAAATTAAAGGTGTAGAATGCTGAAGTAGAAAAAAATGTAGAAGAGGAAATAAAATTAGAATACAAAGCAAAATAGGAATAGGTTTAATTACAAAATGTTGGCAATAAAGGAAGGCAAAAATCATAATGATAGTAGCATACTCGATAAGCTCCCTAAATTTGACGAGTGCAAGAACAACCTTGACTAATACATAAGAAGATTTATGAGAAACTTTCGGCGGACGCAGTTTTTTGGTACTAATAGGAGGTAAGGGATTGGATGCCTGAAAGTTATGAGTTCGTGTAACGGTAGGTTGTTTATTAGATTTCCCTGGATCCACAAACTTCTAACGTGTACCTCGCTAATGTCACCCGTGCAGTAATGTAACTGGTGACTCAAAACCCTACGACGCCTCGGACACCTGAGGTGTCGTTGAGGGGTGATTAACCTATTAGAAAAAACAAACTAAAATCAGTTAATTTACTTTTTAGCAAGCGACCCTCTTATAAACATAATTGTTTATGTTTTAATCTCATTCCATATATCTGAGATTTTAAAAAAAGTATAACAATATAAAGACTTACGTTGTAAGTGCCGCCATATTTGAACAGAATCAGAACTCTGAGAACGTCCGCTCGGTGAGCCATCACATTCACATCTTGTTGGAAGACAGAGAGGGGCTGGTCTACCTACATTAATAGTAGTTTTTATTTTAAGTTGTAAATATTTAATGTAAAACAGAGACGAATCTAGGGGAGGGGGGAGGAGCTACCTCTTGTTGAAAGATATTTTGAAGCTGGTCTACATACATCATCCGGAGTTTTTTTTTAATGTAAAATATTAATGTAAACCAGTGATGTAGGTAGTGCTTTTGTTAGAGGATATTTTAGGACTGTTTTACCTAGATCAACAGGATTATTAAAAATTGTGAAAATTAAAACTACGTATAATGATGAGATTTACACTCGTGTTTATTAAATATCAGTAACAGCTCAATAAATTGTTGAACAGCTTACGTAAACAAATGTGACGTTCTCGTGCACTAACTTCTCCCACCAGTAACCTGACGGTCTTGTATCGCCATGTACATACACTCTGAACAATAAAGATAAGTATACTAGCAAATTATCTTTTCTTGTGAAACAAAAATTAAATCAAGATGGCAATAACTTAAATGCATTATAAGGAAGAAAAAGCACTGGCCAACAACCTCTCAAATCCACCAACGTACAAGGCAGAGAGGACACAGACGTAACTTTCAAATGACCAGACGACTGGGCTGCCTGGGTTAGGGTTAAGGAAGATCACGTGGTTTATGGGTGGAACCAAATCAGCTGGGTCCTGGCGTATACATACATACATACTTATATATATATATATATATATATATATATATATATATATATATATATATATATATATATATATATATATATATATATATATATATATATATTCTATATAATAGTTTCGCTGTCTGTCTATCTATCTATCTGTGTATGTATCTGACAAGAACGCTCTAGAGAAAACATAAGCAATTTAAAAACTTTCACAGTGAAACGAAAACGAAATATGACGTCGTATTGAGCATAGAGTAGAAAATAATATCAAGCCGGAGAATGCACACAGTAATATGACGTCATTGATTCTCTAGTAAACATTGAATAAAAAGGAAATTTTGTCTAATCTAAATGGTTGCATTCATACAATATTTTCGGGAACGTCTAAGCCGCCCCCCCCCCCCCCCCCAACTCAAAAAAAATTTCTTCATCGATGCTCTATAATAAAATTACCGCCTAATTCATGTGTCTAATATAAAAAGTGGTTTGCTTGCGGTTTCTTTTTTTCAGTGTTTTTTTTTCAGTTGTTTTCCTTCCCGGAGAGGGGAACTTTTTCTAATCTAAAAAGTGTTTAGCGTGCACAGTTTTTTTTCATGCATCTCTTCCGGTAGGGGCGAAGCCCCGCCCAGGTTCTTCCTTTAGTTTGTATGATCTACAAATGCGACCAGTGTTTCTTTCAGACTTTTTCCTCCCATGCGAGGGGTGGAGGTACTTGAATTTTTTGGGGGGGGGCGGGGGTAGAATTTTCTGGGAGGGGGCGGACACTGGAAAAAGTATATAATTATATTTCGTTGAATGGGACCGTAGACATGTTTCGGTGTGTGTGTGTGGGCGGGGGGGGGGGGGGGGGGGGGGCTGAGCCCCCTCCTCCCAAGTAGATTTGCCTGAAAGAAACTAAATGCGACTTTTGTCATGAATGAGATTAGGTACATGGTTTAGGGATATGCCTATGACTATAATTTGTATAAATTAAAGTACCAATTCTGGATAAAAATCTGTTTTTAATGTCATTTTTCGTTTCCGGTAAAACTGAATTAATGCGGTAATTTTGTTTTTGGTTTTAGTTTAAAGAAAATAGACAGCACTGTCAACCTAGCGCCCGTTGTATCCTTCCTCAACGGGCCGTTTTTCTCGCATATATATATATATATATATATATATATATATATATATATATATATATATATATATATATATATAAATATATATATATATATATATAATTGTTATTGTGTTTTAAAATACTGTTACTTACTTGACTTTGCTTGACTTGCAGAAGTTCATATCTCCCATAATACAACCATCTGAGTACAGCGTTAAATGTCGATGTGTTGTTGAGGATATATTCTGGTAACACATGACTGTGCAGGACTACACACGGCGAAGAATGTGACATTTTGGGAAACACTTTTATATCAAGAGCCCGACTGTCGAACTCTTGATGTGTGATACATTGTTTCGGATGTGTGAGAACTTTCTTTTTTAATGCTTCTATGTGTTCTTTTTTATTTGCCTGTTCTCGGTTGATCAATACAATCATTCCTTCGCTAGATAAATCCCCAGGTTTTGAGTATGTGACAAATTTCTTGTTTTTCCAGTCCTCTGGGACGTACGTCAACAAAGCTCTTTCACCAAAATAAAAACCTCCTCTTCCACTTAATGTTATTTGTTCTAAAGCAAACTCTACCGCGTCCATCGTGCTACATCTTATCACCCTGTCAATTTTTTTCAAATCCAAGTTAAACACCGATTGTCTTAGTTCGAAAAACCACGAGTAATAATAAAATCCACCTCCTCCTGGTAAATGATTGTAATAAAAGACCAATCTCAACGGATTAAGGATACGCACTATGCTCAATATTCCTAAGAAATCTTCAAATTTGACGTCTTTATTTTCACACCAGACGTAATGAACAGTTGAAGGTAAATCACCTGGTGTTTCTACCCTTGATGTTCTAGAACTGTATAAATCTCTGAACATTCTTGGTTCTTCTGCTGCACTGAATCTTGCATGCTTTGGTTGTACTTTGTCTGGTTTTTTTGCTTGTACATTTTTGACATCGTTTGATGTTGGTGAACGATAATAATCGTCTTTAAATTTAAGAATAGGATCATCTCTTAATATCTTAGCACTGTGTTTATAGTAAACATGATGCCAAGTAAAAAGAAGGTAAGCTGTTGCAGCTAAGGAGGTCAAAGTTATAATATAAAATATTTTTTTCACATGGTTAACTATTTAACATTAAAAAGAAAATTATAAATTTGTTTATTTCTATTTAGTTAAATTTAAAAAAAAATTAAAGTAATATTCTTTGTATTGAATTGTTTTTATAAATAGCTTAGCTTGCATAGTTTTTTTTAACAAAGTAACTTTATGCATATTACTTTATGTAGAGTTTTTGTTTTTCATGCAAAACATTTAAAAAATGTGGTTTTTTTTCAAGCTACCTTGTCCACTCTTACGATTAAACTTTACAGGTCAGTTTTGGCACGGTAACTTTCCATACTGATTTAAGTCACGCGCTTTTTTGTGTCGTTAACTGCTGTTAATGTTTGTTTAGAGCACAATCCTACCAGTTTTGGTCATAAAGTGTAACAAAAAGAGCATTTGATTTGCTTGGAAAATTGCTCGAAATATACTTTACCTTCTTCTTTTGTCACGAACGTAGTCAGCCTGAAAGGCTTATAAAAGTTCAAAGTACAAATTGTATGTCTTTTCTCACTACCATTAAAAAGGTAATACCCCGTTGAAATATGAGCTATATAAAAAAATACCACGTAACCCTGTCTGACATAGATATTCGGCACTTTTCAGCTTAGTTTCTTTTAAGCAATATAGAAAACCTTCCTAACCTAAGCCATTGTGATATAAAATAGCTTTTTATAGCTTTACGACTTCATAAAAATGTAAACACTGTGTACAAAGTTTTGCTGAAAGCGTGTAGGTACTTGGGGTGTAGTGGAAGGTGTGGATAGGAGTGATTTATACGCGCATTGCTATGAGTTTGCGTAGGAATTGTGGGAAAGTCACGTCGTTGTGGGTGTTTATTATAAACTTGACAGTATTAAAATATTTCCATAAGTTTGATACACCAGATTGTCAAGTAGGGGAGGAGGGATGAAAAGTCACACAATTCACTTTTTAGTATCTAGAGACAAGAATTTTGAACCTTTATCAATGCCAATGCACTAGACACTAGTTCTATACATCAGATAACTGTATGCAGAGCTGTTTGGCGTAGCTGGTAACGGTATGCGCACGAACTACTTGAAAAATGGTGATTTGGAATTGCGACATTTTAACCATTATCATTATCATTATCATTATCATTATCATTATCATTATCATTATCATTATCATTATCATTATCATTATCATTATCATTATCATTATCATTATCATTATCATTATCATTATCATTATCATTATCATTATCATTATCATTATCATTATCATTATCATTATCATTATCATTATCATTATCATTATCATTATCATTATCATTATCATTATCATTATCATTATCATTATCATTATCATTATCATTATCATTATCATTATCATTATCATTATCATTATCATTATCATTATCATTATCATTATCATTATCATTATCATTATCATTATCATTATCATTATCATTATCATTATCATTATCATTATCATTATCATTATCATTATCATTATCATTATCATTATCATTATCATTATCATTATCATTATCATTATCATTATCATTATCATTATCATTATCATTATCATTATCATTATCATTATCATTATCATTATCATTATCATTATCATTATCATTATCATTATCATTATCATTATCATTATCATTATCATTATCATTATCATTATCATTATCATTATCATTATCATTATCATTATCATTATCATTATCATTATCATTATCATTATCATTATCATTATCATTATCATTATCATTATCATTATCATTATCATTATCATTATCATTATCATTATCATTATCATTATCATTATCATTATCATTATCATTATCATTATCATTATCATTATCATTATCATTATCATTATCATTATCATTATCATTATCATTATCATTATCATTATCATTATCATTATCATTATCATTATCATTATCATTATCATTATCATTATCATTATCATTATCATTATCATTATCATTATCATTATCATTATCATTATCATTATCATTATCATTATCATTATCATTATCATTATCATTATCATTATCATTATCATTATCATTATCATTATCATTATCATTATCATTATCATTATCATTATCATTATCATTATCATTATCATTATCATTATCATTATCATTATCATTATCATT